GCAAGACATCCCGGTTATTAAGAAGAAAAGAAAATCCAGCTAATTAATGGAGTTACTGGATTTGCTGAAGTGATCGGTAACATTGAGTTAGGAAAAGGTGTTGATTACTTAAACATTTCTCGATTCTTAGAAGTTAAAGAGAAAGATTGATATTGGAGTAGCTTCTCATTAATTTTTATCCAAGAGAAAATTTATTTGATTATTCATATAATTTCTAATTTTTTACACTAAACTCCACACATAAATATGATTTAAACCTTAATTTTATAAAAAATAAAATAATTTGTTTTATTTTTTATTTTTTTAAAATCTATTTTTAATTTATTTTGCATGAAAAACTTATCTCATAATAATTTTAACTAAATATATTTAAGAAAAATACAATTAAAATAGGTTTTTTTTAATAAAAATACTAAACTTTTCTTTCTTAAAAAAAGTCAACGTCGTTAGCGCTCGTGAATCCTGGAAACGTACGGGGATGTACTTTGGAGCAGCAATTATTAGAATACTCAAATTATTGAAGTAATTAGTGTGTATATATACAATGCTAACCGAAGAACATGCATTCAATATAATATTTGAAAAGAAAAGTCAAGACCCGGCAAATCAACCAAAAAAAGGTATTATTTCCTAATTCAAGACGTCAGTGTAGCTTAAAAGTCTAACAGGCCAACTTTTTGTACTTTTCTACCGCTCCAAAAACAGGGACTATATATATATATATATATATATATATTAGTAAATGAAAAATTATTGCCTAACAGGCCAACTTTTTGTACTTTTCTACCGCTCCAAAAACAGGGACTATATATATATATATATATATATATATTAGTAAATGAAAAATTATTGCAATAATTGGCAATATTATAGTAGTTTAACGAAGTCAGAGACACTTATGTCTTAAAATAAACCACCCGTGACAAGAGGACATCAATTGGAGTTGAGAATTTCATGAAGATGGGCGGTTCTGTCATAACTCATAAACAATCTCTGTGTGTTGACTAGTAGAGATTCTTCAATTCATGCCAACTAAAGGTGCATCCATGGGAAACTTCATGAACTGTCAGATTCATGCATCAAGTTGTTAGTTTCCTTTTCTTTCTTTCTCTGTCAGGATTTGTCTTCTTCTATATTTTCAACCATGCCTACTGAAATTATAAAACAAGGTATTACAAATTAAGTTTGTTATACAAGCTTTATTTCTCAAAAAAAATAAATAAATTCGGACCTAATTAACTTCCTTCATTCGTGCATGGCAAGTTTTCATATCAACTTATATGGAATTTATGAGATTTAAGTTTTTTTATGATAACATTAGCAATTATTTTATGAATAATTATATATGAATCTACCATGCAAATTTTTTTAAAATAAATTACTCATGAATATCCAATGAGAATAAAGTATTTATTTTTCTATTTTAGTTATAATTTTCTCAAACTAATTGTTCTTTTATCACATACAGTCATATAAAATTAACAAGATATGATTTTTTGTTTTTTAATCAAAATTTAATTACTTTGCAATCATAATAAGCTTTTAAAAAATACATATTTTGTTCAAATTATTGTGAGATTGATTTTTGCATATAAATAAATAAAAAACACATATATTTTTTTATGAATGAATAAAAATGACTTCTTTATAAGTAGAGTTGAAAGATTTGTTATGCTGATGGTATTATTGGGTGAAGAATTGTATGATATAGTCTCGTAATACAGAAATATTATGTTTGATTTTCAATTTGGTAAGTAGAAGTGTATTTGGTTTTCAATTCGATAAATATAAATTTTCTAATTTTAGTTGGGTAAAACGAATTATTTTTTAGGAGCTTTCTTATTATAAGACTAATATTCTTCACCATAATCTGGATGCCATGCTTATAAAAAAAAACATGTTAGAAAATATTTTTAACACGGTGATGGACATAAAAGGAAAAATAAAAAACAATATGAATACTATAATGGATATACCTTTATTTTGTCACTGTAAAAATATAAAGTTAATTTATGATAGGCCACAAGTTGCAAAACTCAAAGCTAGTTTCGTCTTAAATAAAAATATATAATTACTTGTTTACTAATGACTTATGTTTTTTTTATGGATATGTTTCAAATAAATCTAGATTGTTGAATTTGAAGGATTGCAGATTGTATAGAATGAATAGTCATGACTGTTATATGTTTATGCAAACACTTATTTCACTTTCTTAAAATGATCTATTGTTAAAGGGAATATAGGATTCACTCACAAAGATTTGTCACTTTTTTAGAGATATATATTTTAACAAATTGCATCCCCTACAAAACTTGAAATGAATATCGTCTAAAAAATCTGCAAACTTGAGAAAATATTCTTTTTATTCCACTTTAACTTAATAGAGTATCTACCCATATATTTACTGTTTGAGGTAGAAGTTGGAGGTCTTGTCCAATATAAATAAATATATATATATAAATTTGAGAGGTTAAAAATTACATATGTATCATACATAAATTTCTATTGTTTTTTTGAATTAAAACATTCACTTTTTCAATCTTTATTTAATTACATGTAGATACTTGTTTAACTTTAAGAACAAAAAAGTTAAAAATAAGATGCATGTTGAGGCTTCGATATGTAAGGCTTGTATTATAAAGATATTTTAATATTTATTTCATACTTTTTTAAGTATCACTTAAAAACAAGAATTAATCATATTTCAAAACATAATGATGATGGGGAAGTGAATTTGAATGAGAATTTATCAATACTTTCTTATTCTAGATAGCTTTTATAAAAAAAATACAATGAGGGGAAGATACATGACAAAAATTGAGTTCAAACATGCATATGCTAGTTAACTACTATGAATTAAAGCTTTTTATTTAGTAAGTACAATATTAATATGTTGCTATTTTTAAATAATTTTATCTTATAATCTTATATAAAATTGATAGATTAAATAATTTTTTATAGGCGATATTGTCATTTTTTACTATTTCAAACATATAGAAGTAATATTTAATAATTCTTAATAAAACATATAGAAGTAGTACTTAATAATTCTTAACCCTGTAATGCTTAATTTTATTATACATTTCTTTTTAACTTTTAATAGAATGTATAGAGTGATGATTATCTTTTCTATTACAAAACCAACTCCAACCCTAAAATTGTTTAAAGACTAGTTACGAGTACTAATTATCATAGAACTAGAAAGCATTTTCTTTTTGTATTTTTACTCTTTTCACATGCAGTTTTCCTTCGTATCCCCTACAATAACTATGAAAAATAAATAAATTAGGGACCATATAAGGATGAGGCAATAAATGATTTTTGTTTGAGATATTATTTGTTTAATGTATTTTTTTGGTAATATTTTCTTTAAGGATTTGAAAATTTTTATTTTTAATCCTTATTTTTTTATCTAAAAATTTATTTTATTCATTATTCCACCTGTGTTTGGAGAAAAGAAAGAAACTAGTTGAAAATCTGTAGAGGGAGAGTTACCGATTAGCCATATTACAGTGATAAAAAAAATTATTTGTGGTGTAAAAATGTTTTATGCAATTATGAGAGTTCATTTATGTTTTTTTACCTTATTTTGCTTGGAAGAATAGATTGAGACTTAAAAATTTTTTTAAATTCAGGTTGATTTTTTATTTTATAATAGATTAAATGTTATTTAATATTATATATAAGTTTATTGAAATCTCCATAATTTTTTAGATGTTTTAAAGTGAAAAATAAGTTTAGAAATGATTTTTTAAGGTCCTTGCAGTTCGAAACTTGAAGTTTCAGCAATCTTAGCTAGCCGAAATCGAACTAGAAAAGACATGTCGTCTAGTTGTTTAAAAAAAAATTGGATGCATGATTTTGTCTACCAAACTTAACAAAAAATAAAATAAAAATAGGTCATGCATGAGGCCCCTTTTTATTTGGAACACAAGCAGGCATATCTGTCTCGTCCTGGGCTCTTTTAAGAAGGCCTTTATTAAAAAAAAAAACTAAAGTTATTTTGTTTTAATTATCTCATTAAATACCATTTAGTTTTAAATTTATTTTCAAATTATAATATTTGTTTTCATAATATTAGCGTGCATTCTTTTTAGACTACAAATTAATTATAATTAAATAATTTAAATTATTTTTTAATATTTTTTATTATCATAGATGTTCGGATTAGTTTACGTGTATCTCAACTAATTTCACAAATTCTGAAATTAACGACCATATAAACCTTTAATAAACTTACTGTTTTTAATATATTATTTTATTAGATATCAATCAATTCAATATTAATTCCCCATTAATATTATTGCTATTTTTATGATGTTAGTGATAATTTTGTTAATTATTTTTTATGGTTTTTGTTAGTATTTTTTTATTTTAGTGTTGTGGAAATTATATAAAAATAAATTTCAATTTATTATAATTATCATAAATACTCTTCTTTAAACCTTTTGTACTTTTTGTTTAATGAATTATGGTTCTTATGAAAAAAAATAGTAAAAAAACAAGAGATGTCACATGAATCATTAAAGTTGTTTTTGAAAATTGAAATAAATTTTTACTTCATGATATTATTCATTGTTTTTAATATGAATTTTTTTTTGTAATAGTATAATTAGTTAAAATATTAATCGCTACCAACACATGAACTTTTTTTTTACATTAAAATAAATTTCGGCCCAGATGGGGTGTGGCGCTGACACCAATATAGGTTTTTTTTTTCTTTCAAAATTTCGCCATCTGTAAGCTAGTTCAACTGTACCAATCCCCATGCCTATTAACAATCTACTGTTGCTCATAAAAGTCTAGAGTTTGTTAACGTATCTTTAGATTCGCAACATGTTTTATCAAGAGCATCGGTACAACGACAAACCAACGCCTAGCACACCCTCCATTGACTGCTTTTCCTTTTTTGGTACCAGATCCTTCATCTTGCTAAGAAGCAGACAGCAGCAAACAACAGGGCAACTATAATCAAACAGACCAGCCTTTTCTTAATTATATCATACTTCATATGTCATTCCAACCCGGAGAAGTCTGGTTCGAGGGATTGCCAGAACTGTCTTCCCTTGTCTGAAGTTTTTCCTTAGAAAACTATACCCATAATCAACAACTAGTTTCTTGAACCAGGATGACTCTGGTTTTGCCACCACTTCGGCTTCTCCTATGAGATAAATCACACCTTTCTCCATAGCCTTCTGCACAAACTGCATCTCTTCTTCTGCACCTTTTGGGACAGCGGCATGTATCATTCCACCAGAAGAATTTGCTGATTTAATCCCATTCACTGACTGAGTGGAACGTGATGATGCATTGATTGATTGAATGGAAACTGAAGAAATACGGGGTTGATTAGTCTGCTGTGGCGATTCTTCAACATGAACTGCTGGAGATTCTTTGGATTTTCCGTCTTTTACTGCTAGTAGAGTGGAATGTTGGATGCTATCTTCTTCTGGTGCTGATTCATTGTTGTCTTCAACATGAACTGCTGGAGATTCTTTGGTTTTTCCGTCTTTTACTGCTAGTATAGTGGAATGTTGGATGTTATCTTCTTCTGGTGCTGATTCATTGTTGCCTCCTTCACGAATGAAGTGTTCATGGCGGATGAATTCTTTCAAGTTTTCGACCAACTGGCGTTCAAATTCGTGGGGCTCCTCAGTGGCATCTTTATATCCATACCTTACAATACAACGGAACATCCTGTATTCTCTTGGCTCAACTTGTCGGAACAAGAAACGCTCCTCAAGTGCCACTTTACTTATTGGAATAGACTTAATTGAAACAAAAACTATAACCGAGTGTGTGGAAGGTATGTTGGAAATGAAGTGAGGGAATATTGGAGGAATGCCCTGCACAAGCTCAGAGTACAGAAGTCCTATTCCTGGTAGCCGGTTTATATCTGTTCTTTCCGCCAGATCTCTGACATATTCACTAGAAACCTTGTTCTGAAGCTCATAGATGTACCTCTCTCTCTGCACATAATGCCATATCCCCATTGATATCATTAGGAAAAGTGAAAATGCCAGTGGAAGGAACCCACCTTGTTTAAATTTGTATAGGACAGATGATAAATACACGGCCTCTATAGCACCAAATCCGAAGAAGAAGAGAGCAATCCACCAAATCCTTGTCTTCCATATAACTAACATTATGAGTGTAACCAAACAAGTTGTGATTACCATAACAGCAACCACAGCAATTCCTGCATTCAGAGAATTTCACCACAGCAATTACACTAGTGGTAGAGACCAATACAGCATTCAAATATTAGTTCTCCCTTGAACTATCATCTTCGTTACTTTAAGATAGAGATAAATTTTGGATTGTGCGAACCAAATCAATTTTGAAATGTCTATTTGTTCCCAGTCGTTTCTTTACTGAACCAATTGTACTTGATTCTGAGAGGCAAGTCATCATTAACCACAACCTTGAAGTGTTTCCTTATGATACTTTATTTCATAGTCATTTGTTCCCAACCCAGCTGTGAATGTAAATCCTATACAAAGTGGGTTGATAATTTCAATGAGTTTTGTTGGTTATATAGGAATTCTTCAACCCGAGAATTAAGATTAATAAATTCTTCAGTAAAATAAATAGAGCTTTCAAGTTTAAATTAAGATTAAATTAAGATTAATCATTCCCAACCCAGCTGTGAATGTAAATCCTATGCAAAGTGGGTTGATAATTTCAATGAGTTTTGTTGGTTATATAGGAATTCTTCAACCCGAGAATTAAGATTAATAAATTATTCAGTAAAATAAATAGAGCTTTCAAGTTTGAAGATCCTAGGAGCTTACCATATGCATTGCCGATCTTTTCAGTAGTCTTGAATGCAAAACAGACGACAACGCAGGCAACCATAAGCAAGTAGTTGACCTCAGGTATGTAAACTTGACCCTCGTACTTTGCAGAAGTGTGAACAACTTTGACTCTAGGAAAACAACCAAGACTCAGGGATTGAGAGATGATTGCAAACGCCCCTGATATCATGGCTTGGCTAGCAATAATTGCAGCAGCTACAGCAACAACAAATGTCGGCCAATACAATGGATCTGCATGCCAGTTAAAATAAACAACTCAAATCAGTTAATGTTTTTTTCCTGATGAATGATAAGGAAAAATCGGATCATTTCTCGATAAAGTCGATGCTTATATTTCTTATTACCATTTCAATTTCATCGAATATCCTAGAGAGGACAGTTGTTTTATACTGCAAGTTTTGTATGTGCTGTAGTCATGTATAACGTATTTTAGCTACACCAAGAAGTAATTTGACATGGTTGCAGTAGTTTTTTCCTGCTCATCAGGAAATACCTGGAATAGACTTGTAGAAGGTATCAGACACATCATCATTGTATTTGGTGAGGTATGCGGCTTGCCCACTATATGCAGCTAGTAGTGCCGGAAAAACGATGCTGGAAAAACTAATCTGCATAGGAGTAGAAAAGAGGAGGCGGTTGTAACCATAAATTGGCAAAATAGTGGAGTCTAACAAGTAGAATACATCACACAAGTATTATATAATTAATCAGTCTGGTAATCATGATTAAGGCTACACCGACCATGAATCATGAGTCTGTAGCACAAGGACATGGTCCGAAATTCAATTAATTAATCATTGTAAGTTTGGGTGCTTGCTTGGTGTCCTCTCATGTACCATTGTGGACCATTCTAAGCATTCTTGGATAGCTAAATCCGAGAGGTGAAAGAAATTTGGAAATGCACAGATACTCACTTGGATCGCTCGCACGTTGAAGTGACCCAGATCAGCAAACATAGCTTCCGTTCCTGTCACCTAATCAGTTAGAGACAAAAGTATACATGCCGTCTAAAAATACACGATTCAATCTGAGAAACTCTTACTCACCTGTTATGCAGAGAACTATTCCGCCAAGTGAAATCCATCCTTGCTTACCATTTCTTTTGAAGTAGTCAATCATGTATTTTGGATTGAAAGCACGTAGTACACCGATTTCATATTTGAACAAATTATAAAGACCGATTAAACCGATGAAGGAAAACCACAACAAGATAACTGGAGCAAATGCAAAGCCCACTTTATCGGTGCCCAGTCTTTGAACAGAGAATAGAACAATCAAGATTGCTATTGAAATGCCTACAACAGCATCTGCATGTATAATTAAACAAGCTTAACGTTGTTGAAAGAAGCAGTCCTTGATAATAATTATCACCCAAATGCTATAAAATTAAGACCAGTAGTACTGGTGAAGTTAATTATAAAGCGTGTCATGGAAGAAAATTAAATTCCGCATGTTTTGAAGATCATGTATATTTTCTCTCGCTCTCCCTCTCTCTATGAACTATGCATAATAGTACCTTTGCCAAGAGACTTGATCCCACTCACTGCTGAAAGAACTGCAAAAGAAAATTTGTTGATCTTACAAGTCAGTATTTCTCTGAAGTACAGTAACTAATATGCTCAGATAAGCTGAAAACATAGCTGGCTGCAGAAAAACCTGAAATGCATGGAGTGAGGACACCGTCTCCAATAACCATGGAAGTTCCTAGGATGGTGATTAGGAACAGTATGATTTTAATTGTTTTACTACTTTCCATCTTCTCTTTGATCATTTGAGCACGCCTCAACTGATTGGATGGTGTGTCGAGTCTGTAGTTGGAGAGCTGGTGGTCCTCTGGCTGGTCATTTGGAATTAAGCCCACCTTCGCAGATCGGCATATCAATGAATAGAGTGCAAATGTTCCACCTGTTAAAGGGTACAACTACTCGTGATCGAATGATAACTAGGTTTACCGAAACGTACATGGACTTCCTAACTAGCCACGTTAAACAATTTTTTGGTCCAAGCTTTAGAATAGAAAAAAATATTTGATAAACAATCTACGACAATTTAATTTACAGAAACATGTGTAAAAACAGATTATGAAAGCATCCATTC